AGATTAATTTCGGATGCATGTGAATTATAATAATATCATTCGTAGGAATTAAAATATTTTCGGATATCGTACATCAGATTTCGGATGCATGGGACACCGGAATATTACCATTCGTACGAATTAAAATATTATCGGATATCGGATGCATGGGACACCGGCCTAACTCTTAAATTACAATTAAAAACAATTAGAATACAAGATAATATTTTGAAGTGACATTAATCACTATATTGTTCTAAAACGTCTTCTATAAAGTTTATTAATTTCGGTATTGAATTGTCTTTAGTTTCGTGTTGAATAAAATCCTTAATTTCATCATCACTATCTTGATAACAAAATATCTAATATTTCTTCATTACTCATGGTTTTTCTTTTATTCTGACAAAAGTGATCAAAACTTTTAACCACAAAGTATATACTTTTAACTTAAAAAGTATAGGTTATGTTTATATGTCCCCCACTTCTATAGTCTCCTAGTAGCTGCTCTTATAAAACATAAGGAGCACAAAGGAGCAATCTGCGATTGCTCTAGAAAAAAAAAAACTTTTTGTGAGCCAAACAGGACAATCTAGTTTAGAGTTACATAGAGCAACCCAGTCGAACATAAAATTTGTGATAAGATCGATCTAAGAGTGCTCGAGAGCACTCTAGAGCAATCAACCGAAAACGGTATTATTATAAATATCCTTGGCTTTCTCCATGTTTAGAATTTCGATATAACAAAATAAAATATTTTCATATACTTACCGCAAAATTTTGCATTTCACCTTTATTTTGATTACAGTTTTAGGACATGTATAAATGATTTTTTAATATTCAGATAGCTGTAAAACAAAAATCAACGAGATAACAATTATAACATTTTTATTTGGATTTTAATGTTTATAAAATTTGTAGATATAATTCTAGTGATTACTATATTGTGCTACTTTACTTTTTTGATTTGGGTTTAAGAGCAAAAAAGGCAATGATGAGTCCTACAGTAGCATAGGTAGCCATGGCAACCTAAAAAAAATATTTTATAAGATTAACTCCAGACAAAATTCTACTAAATTATTGGAAGGTACCTAATTTAAACACTTGTTTGCTTATACAGTGAGTCCCGAAATTAATGGAACACAGAGCCAGGGTAGATTCTTTACATCAAAAAGTGCAATATAGCTAAATTTACCTTAGTCCATTTGTGGATAATAAAAAATTTACAGGGTGTCAAAGTTAAAATTTTGAATCCAAAATCCTTAGTGTTTAGAAAGTGTTCAAGGAATTACTTTGAAAATTTGGATTCGGGGATTTTCTGGGTCCAGAAACGCAAATCTGGACTTAGCTGTGCTGTACAGTAGAGGTCGCTATTTTGTCATAACTTTTTTCTCAGGTATGTACGAAAGTTTTAATAGAAAAATATTATTCTCTTAACTATTTTACACAAAAAGATATACTTGTTTTATGTCAATAAACTTAACATTTTCCAATTTATTTACTGTTTTTCCATTGGATGCAATTTAGTTTTCAATACATGGTTTGTACTTATTCTCTTGTAAGAAGCTTAATTTACAATACAGAGCTAATTTGATGTAATTAATAATTTTTTATGTAAGGAATCTACCCTTGCTCTGTGTCCCATTAATTTCGGAACACCTTGTATAACCAGACAGAAAAAAAAATAATAAAAAGTTTAAAAATGTGAATTTAATAAATACCGGTCCTTGACTATAGTTTAAATACTCTAAATTTACGTTATGTAATATTTATTGAGATATTAATCCCAAAGTTGCAATTCTTATTAATGAATAATAAAGTTATCCTCTTTTGACCTATTTAAATACCCTTTTTTAAGAAATTGCTTTTATTATTTGAAACTAGTTATTGATCAAATACATACATGAGCTCTTCCCCTGGTTGTTTGCCCATTGAAAATTTTGCTTAGACCTGTTAATTTTGTACTATCTACATTAGCGTCTCCACCAGCCATTATCTAAAACATTTTATTTCAATACCTATCACTCAATTTACCACTTCTTCTGTTTTAATACCTTAAATTTTTATTTAATTCCAATTGTAGGACCAAATAACCTGGTAATCAATCAAGCAACAATGAAAAATCAAATGAAATGAGCTAGGTCAAAACTCACCACGTTCTCTCTTCTCTATCTTATTTAATGCGTCGAAAAGAGGCAAAAAATAGAGACGAATGTGTTTTCTAAAGCGTTTAGTTATATAACTGACATCAGTGACATCCAACTGAAAAATGGATACGGAATGACGCTTGGCGGTAATTTTTAAAATAAACGGTAACACTATGAAAGACGTTTACGTCCACAGTTACAGTCACAGTCGTTTCCAAATATTAATTTCCCAAGGACATTTTGATAAAAGACAAATCCTCCAATTATTGAAAAAGTTGCGATGGATGCCTGGAAAAAATTGGATTACAAAGCGCGTCTGATACCTCGAATATTGAGTAGAAATTAAACTTACATTTCGTACCAATTTGGCATTTTTTCCTTGAACAAATCTATAAAATCCTGATTTAGCCGTTACATTTGGTTTGTTTTTATCTTCTACCATAATGAAACCATAATTTTTAATGTGTTTACTGGCATTTAAGAACATATTAAACGAACTAAAATATCAAATTGTTGGCAGGTGTTTGCCAGAAAAATAAAAACACTAGGAAAAGTTTATTGAATTAATTAGAATTTTTCGTTTTTGTAAGTTTTCTGTAGATGATGTAAATGCCGATTGCTGAAAAAGTGGCTATAGATACCTAAAACAATGAATTAAATTCGAAAGATTCATGAACAATTAATTAATTGACTTACGTTTGCGCGTCCTCTGATGGTTTTGTTATTAAAATATCTTGAGAAACCTTTTAAAGAAGGATCGTCGTAAGGCTCATGTTCACTTGCCATATTCTCAATTTTATTTAAATATTTATAATTCCTTTTGTTTTAAACACAACTTTTAAAAATTAAACAAAATTCAAATCTATCAAACCATAGACTTTACCCGCATGAACTTACAATTACAGAAAGAAATGCCCTGTGCTGTATGAAACCGAGAAAGGACCTCGTTTTTCACGACCAGAAATCTAGAAAAATCAGTTTATATTCCCAACAATTTTCAAGTTTTCGGAAGTACAAACTTTTTCCCTCGCCCATTAAGATATCGATACGAGATACGACATACCATCCACAAAACATATAAATACAATACCAATTTTGAAATATTTTTGTCTCTAGATCTGATACTATTAACGTATTCTTTTAACTGTACGTCGTTCTAATCATGATTTCAAAACTGATAGCTGATTTGCAGATTTTAAAAATGCGAGATGTGATTGGCTACTAATTGATCGTGGTTAGGAATCTCAGTTCAGTGCGAACAGCCGAGCTGAGCGGACGTG